GTGTGTAGTTAGTAGTGTGTAGTGTAGTAGTAGTGTTGTTGTGTAGTAGTGTGTGTGTGTGTTAGTTGTGTGTGTGTGTGTGTGTGTGTGTGTGTGTGTGTGTGTGTGTGTGTGTGTGTGTGTGTGTGTGTGTGTGTGTGTGTGTGTGTGTGTGTGTGTGTGTGTGTGTGTGTCTTGAGTATTTGCAGGACAGTGTTGGGGTCCATGTTCATTTTACAAGCAACAGTGCATGTGTTTTGGGTTGAAAATGGAGGTCTATGTCACCGAGGAAAAATAAAACTAGCCCTGGATACACGAAAAAACATCAGGACCATTCAATTAATTATAAACGTTGAATATAACCTGAATGTTTCTTAAGTTTAAGTAGTTTTCTTGTATGTGTGTGTGTGTGTGTGTGTGTGTGTGTGTGTGTGTGTGTGTGTGTGTGTGTGTGTGTGTGTGTGTGTGTGTGTGTGTGACCCACCCACCTGAGTGATGACGTCCTCCAACTCGGCGGCTTTCTCTGCAGAGCATTTATTATCAGACATCAGTTGTTTTAAGTGAGCTGTGGGGAAACGAATATCCTCATTTAGCCGCTGTCAGTGATTCAATTCAATGTTTGCATTTGTATAAGTAAATATGCATTTTTTGTCAAACAAGCCTTTAGTAATATTATTTTTGTGGCAAAAGGCCTGCTTTTCATACAAACAATTACAGCCAAACAATGTAGGAAATACATCTCAAAGTTACTGAAATGTTTTTTTACCCAGACTGTATGTCTTTGTAATCAAAAGTCTAAGTAAGCCTGAAATATATTAGATGCTAAAGCCACACATTTTCGTCTACTTGGTTTGCTGACATGAAAAACCAGTCGATCTGACACTTTCACTTGTGCTCTCCTCTACTGTACATACCATGGCCCTCGGGATATACAGGGCAACCAAGTCAGACGAGTACAAACATGTCCTTATATGGACGTTCAGAAAACCTAAGTCATTGTGCTTTTTAGGGATTAAACCTGACACCTTGTCATTAATGCATGGAAACAACGGAAAGCTTTATGGAGGACTGGACTAGGTGGAGCTCCTTTAAATCCGGTCACCTTTGAGCAGGTGATCGGCGCGGTAGCACTCTCCAGTCTTGGCGTCTTTCACCATGTAGTCTGCAAACTTATCCACGTGCCCCGACGTCCTTGAGGAGAAAATAATGCACATTTCTCAGCCAAGTTGGAATAGAGGATGCAGTTCATGTTCTGGGGTTTGTTGTCACCTTGAGAGCCCAGTCTGCTCTGATTGGTTAGCTGGCTGGCTCTGTTGTGATTGGTCAACCACTTAGAGATGTCCCTGCCCTAGCCCCTATCATGTACAATGTGTTGGAGCACTAGCCAATAGAAGCACAAGTGTTCTATAGTGATGTCACTATGTTACAGATGTAAACAAAGGAGTCCAATGGAACCGGAGAAACTGGGGATTTTTTGCAGACAATTGACATGCACAAAAACCTATAACACACACTACTGTAAAGGGAAACCCCAAAAAGTATAATAAGGCTTCTTTAATACTAAAATTAATGATTAATTTAATCAAATAATTGTTTCTGCAACCGGGCTATAAAAAGGTGCTATATTGGCAGCTTCCATGCATAAAATCCCAGGATCATTGTGCGCGTGTTTAGAAAAACCCACAGTTTGGAGCGGACTCTAGGAACCACAAGGCAGCATTACCCTCATTCATTATACATTAGAAATAACAAATGAGTGTTTAAAACCCATAGAAGCCATGATCTGATGGGTGAGACACCTACTTGAGGACGGGCTCGGGGGTGAGCATGGTGCAGTCGATCTCCAGGATCTGCTCCTCCTGGATGAAGTGCTGCCTCCACACCTGCAGGATGTTGTTCTTCAGGGCGCAGCCGACAGGGCCGAAGTCATACAGGCCGCTCACACCTGGATAGTTAGTGTGTAGATTGCAATATTTGAAGTGATAACTTCCTGAAATGCGATGACGTGGTTTCAGTTTTCTTTAGTTTTACCTCCATATATGGCAAAAGCCTGATCGTAGAAGAATCTCCTCTTTAAGGTGTCCTCCATCTTCACTCTGTCCACCGTGTCTTCTTTAGGCTGCAAAGCTAGCTCCTACAGGATGAGAAAAACAACAACAATCAGATCCCAGGATTACAGCTAAGTAAACATTCTTTGACTCAAACTGAAAGTGGAACCAAAAGGTGTCCGAGTACGCAGAAGCTGTGAAACTGATGCGATATCCTTTGAAGGATGTGACTGATGATTTGAAGGTGTGAACTTCTCACTTTTGCTTCCAGAATCTTCTTCCGGGCTTTCAGTTCTGCAACAGCTTTGTTCAGCTCCTGCTCGTTGGCGCCTTTCGCCTTTAGCTCGTGCACCAAATCCCCCTGCAGGAGTAAAAAGCACTTCATTTTTACACAAAACCTCCTAGAAAAACATACAAAAGTACCTTATCTGTAATTTTTCTTTCGGTTATTATTATTTCTTAGGAATACTATATATAGATTTGTATATTAAAAATGCATATATGTAAAAAGAAAAATGGTAAAAAAGAGAGCTGTAGTTGTTTGTTTATTAAAATCTATTTATGATCTTTGATAAATCCGCTTTAAAGCCATCATCCCCAAATACCCCCTTTGACCAGCAGCCACTCCTTCAATTCTAGTTTCACTTTTTTCTCATGCCATGAGGCTCTGTATAACTTATGGTCACTGAAGAACATTCAATAATTGATTGTACTCTAACTGTATTTGTGTCATTGTGTTATGTTCCTTTTTAAATGGGTATTTTCACATTGATCTTGTAAGATATGTTTGTTGTTTTTGCATTGTTTTACATTGCCAATGTGTTTGTTGACTTGTGAAGCCCTCTGAGACAAATAGGATTTGTGATTTTGGGCTATATAAATAAACTTGAATTGAATAATGTGTAACCAAACATCATATAAAGTGCACATTATTTAATACGCATTATTGTATTATCTGTTTTACTCTGATAGACATTGCATCTGTTTCTGTGCTGTTTAAATGCAACCATTGAAGTGATTTCTTCATGTAAACTTATCATTCCATATTCAAAACATACAGTAGACTCATTTTTAAGCACATGCAAAATCTTTACATTGTCAAAGCCCAACTCGCTGCATGCCAGTGTTTGCAGAATGTGTTATAGTGCAGGTGTGTCAGCTGCTCTCACCTGTTGCTTCACAGACTCCCTCAAAGGCGCCAGTATTTTCTCCATGTTCACACTTTTATATATTCTATGGTTGACTCGTTTGTAAGAAGCTCTCCTCCTGCAGCCAGCTGTGGATCTGCTCTGAACTCAAATCCTTTCACTTTGGTCCTCTTAAAGTTAGAGAGAAACAGGGGAGGCGCCTGTTTCTGTTCAGATGAGAGTGGAAACCAGCGCTTTGTGTTGCATCATCCAGGAGGAAACTTAACATTCTGCTGTGAAGAATAAGCAAGTTGCAAATTGGAGACATGTCCAACCTTTTAATGGAGGAAGAACCTTTATTTACATATCTTTGATTCCTAATTTTGCGCATCTGGGATTGGCCGAAATAACACAATGTTGACAGTCAGAATGCAGTTGGGTTGTTTATGGGTTGTGCGTAGAGACTGCATTGTGACGGCAACCTCTGGAAAACAGAGGTCAATAAGGAAGTGGCAAAGACTGCATTACTTATAATAACCAGCAGAGGGCTCTGTTTGTGTAGAAGTCTATTAAAATAAATGACTCATTTCGTAGAAGTAGCCTACTCAGATCTTTTACTTAAAGGTCCCATGTCATGCTTTTCCTGTTATTACCCGTCCCCCTTGTGTGTCATGAAGGTTTCTCTGCATGTAAACGGTCTGCAAAGTCACAAACCCTCAAAGTACAGCCTGTAGAGAGTAAAACTCTAACACAGTAAATACCTGTCTATGCTGCCCCAGAACGCCTCGTTGGACATTTCTCTTTTTCCATTGTTTACTTCTTGGGGATGTATTTTGGGTATAGTGACGTAACGTAACGTCCATTTTTAGCGTAAGATGGGGAACTTTTTCTCCCCCTCGACCCAAGTCAAGGTGCCGTTAGACAGGTCTCGAACCAACGCTGACAACTCAGCGAGCTGTAATAGGGTTGTATATATTAGAAATAAAAAAATTAAAAAGCTGAATCTGATACAATACACAGCTGTGGTTATTGTTGCAGTACCTCGGCCCTGATCTGCCTCATGGAGTCTTGGTCTCTCAGCGTGGCGGTTTGAGCTGAATATTGGGGGAGATGTGTCCCCCCCAATTTATATGGTGAATTCGGCCCTGCACATACTATACAGAGATGCTGTTTGGAAAATTGCCCAATATAAATCTATTTTAGTATACCTCAACAATGGAATTATGATCAGTAGAAATGGCCATGACATGGGACCTTTAAGTAAAAGTACTCTTTTATAAGTAAAAGTCCAGTATTAAAAATGTTACTCAATTAAAAGTACAAAAGTATGGTCATGCAAATATAGTTAAAGTAGCCTAGCAATAGTAAAAGTACTCATTGTGCAGATCGGTCATTAAAGTGTTCTCAAAGCTGGTAAAGGTGCAGCTAGTTTTAATGACTTTGTATCTATATATACAGTATGCTTTGTATACTGCAGGGTAGCTTGTGAATTTACTCCAGGTGGAACTAAAGTCTGATTTAAGTGTTATAAATAGTGTTTATCATTAATCTAGTCACTTGTGGAGTAAAAGTACACCATAACATGGAAATACTCTAGTACAGTAAATGTTTTTACATCATGTATGAGGGTTTTCAGTCCGGCTATAAGTATGGTTTTATTGTCTCGTGCTTTACATTAGTTTATTTTTGTCCTATCGGTTTTGTCTAAATGTATTTATGCTGCTTTTTTATATATGTATTGATGTACAGCACTTTGGTCAACTCTGTTGTTTTTAAATGTGCTATAAATAAAGTTGGATTGTAAGTACAGTAATTGAGTTAATGTACATAGTTACTTAACACCACTGTCAACAGCATTTAATTATTTTCATAGTTAGAAATATATTAATTAACTAAAAATATGTGATAGAAAATGCAACATCAATAATTGTATATATCTATTATATTTGTTTCTGTGCGTCGAATCTGCCGATACGTTTTAAAACCCTGCACCAATAGTAGCGAAAGTGCTGCACAGAGGCTGTTTCTGCGTTTACATATCCCCACAGATTTCATCATCTCCTCTCTTGTTACTGAGGTCCATGCTTCGCAGAACATCAGAACTGCTGAGGACCAGCACCGAGATCTCCTCCTTCTCCTCCCTGTGGTCAAAGACCCGGTCCGGAAACAACAACAGACCGTTTTCCGTGTCTCTGTGCCTGTTTAAGAGGAACAAGAAGAGAAGTCTTTGGCTGCAGGAAGGACGAACCATGGACGGAAATATGGAGGAGATTCTGGCCCCTTTGAGGCTGGCTGTCAAAGAACAGGTAACAAAGACATCCATAATGACTTAAAACTGATGTGGTATAGGTTTATTTAGGGTTAGATAGCTTTGTATTACCTCTGCAGGGTGACAGCTAGGGTGTTAGCATGCAAGCTAACCGGCAAACCGGACCGGTTCCTTTTTTTAATATATTTTAATTTTTTATTTAATTTTTCTTTCTTTCTTTAATTCAAACGATTTATTGATTTGATTTTTTCTTATTTTTTGATTTTATTAGATAATTTTTTACTTAACCGGTTCCTCATGAAGCTGTCAATGAAAGAACCATTAGCTAAATGCTAACACTAGTCGGCAGTAATGTCTGCAGACTCTGCACCCTTTGCCACGTTTCAATGAGCTGCTGCAGATATTTGTGAGCAGGGTGGGGTTTAAAGAAGAAATTCATGCTGCTACAAAAAAAGAAAGATGTTATTGCTATTAAACATGCCCAAACCAGAGGTCTAAAGCAGTCTAAAGCCCCTCTCTGTTTTTAGGGGGAACTGGTGCGTCAAATGAAACAGGATGGAGCTCCTGATGTGGATGTTACTAAAGCTGTGGCTGAACTGAAGGCGAGGAAGAGGGCTTTTGAATCCAAGGTGAGTCTAGTTCAACTGCATGTGATGCAATATATTTAGTATCAATTACCTTTGTCTACAATTATCTGCCAAGCCTTGCATCTGTTCTGAGGAATAGGAATGTAAAACACTTGCCAGCTCTCCACTTAATGACCAGGCTGTGCTGCAAATAGGATGCACTTTAATTAAAATATGGGCAGTGTGTGCCAACCTTTTTTGTTCATTTTTAACCTACTATTGTGACAAGCAGACTGGGAATTGGGTGCTTGTTGGAGATGCAGGTGTTTGACACATCATGGTAGATATTATTATCAGATGCATTCAACCTGGTTATAACACATCTGGTGTCAAACCTATTCAAAACTGATATGCAACATATTATAAACCTGCATTTCAATTCCCGGATATCCACAAATGTATCCTGGTCATCAAACACAGCTCTATCTTAAACTCACACTGTTATAACCTATGTGAGTCTTCCCTCACAGGAGCTATTGTGCCTTGTTCGCTGATTTTAAAATTGTGTTTTTGTCATCCTAAGATGTGTATCATGTCCTCTTGTTGGTGTTAAACATGTTTTGGTTATCACTTATGTATATTTAATCAATGATAATGCTGCCTTGAGTCAGCTGTCAGTGCTGAACTGTAGGTTTTTGAAAACGGGCGGACATTGATTCTGTGATTTGATGCATGGATTCTTTTCGTCGGGCAGCCTTCCATAGCCCGGTTGCGGATACAATGTTTTGGACAAGCAACTTATTTTATCATGTCTTGATGCGTTTCTTTCCTGGGACCGAATTTGCTGACTATGAGTTGTCAAGAATGGAGTAAATATCCTTCTCATTGCAGGAACTGTCATTACAACCCAAAGATGACATCGTTGACAGAACCAAGATGGAGGACACCCTCAAGAGGAGATTCTTCTACGACCAGGCCTTTGCCATCTATGGAGGTAAGACTTTGAGGGCTAATGTTAAAGGTCTCCTATTATACTGTTTTTCATCAATATATCACAGGTCTCAGATATATACAGAGCCTGTCTCTGATTGGCTGAAACACCAAACAGATCATTGCAGCATTACCCATAATCCCCTCTGTTTCAGCCCTGTTTCCAAAGTGCTGATTCTCTGTCTGTTACTTTAGATGAAAATAAGGAGCCCCTCCCCACGCCCCTCTGAGAGACATTTGGTTCCCCACCTCCACCCCTTGCCTTGCCCGGCGTCGTCCGCGGCACCGCTTACTTCAGGAGGTGGCGTGCCAAGTTTTTCGTAGGGGAGTAATATGGAACTTAGAGGAGGATCTCGTGGTAAC